GTCTGCCCCGCCCCCAGCCAAGGCGCTGAGCGGGTGTAGTGCCCTAAGACCCTAAAGCCCCTAAAACTCCTAAAGCCCCTACAACCCCTAAAGCCCCTAAAGCCCCTAAAGCCCCTAAAGCCCCTAAAGCCCCTAAAGCCCCTAAAGCCCCTAAAACCCCTACAACCCCTACAACCCCACAACCCCTACAACCCCTGCAACCCCTAAAACCCCTAAAACCCCTAAAACCCCCTGAACCCCCTAAAGCCCCTAAAGCCCCTAAAACCCCTACAACCCCTCAAACCCCTACAACCGCTAAATTCCCTAAAACCCCTAAAGCCCCTGCGCTAAAGCCCCTAAACCCCTAAACCCCCTAAAACCCCTGAAGCCCCTACAGCCCCTAAAGCCCCTAAGGCCTCTAAAGCACCTAAAGCCCCTAAAACCCCTGAAGCCCCTAAAACCCCTAAAGCCCCTGCAGCCGCTACAGCCCCTAAAACCCCTAAACCCCCTAAAACCCCTGAAGCCCCTAAAGCCCCTAAAGCCCCTAAAGCCTCTAAAGCACCTAAAGCCCCTAAAACCCCTGAAGCCCCTAAAACCGCTAAAACCCCAATCCCTAAAGCCGCAGAAGCCGACGAACCCCCGAAACAGTGGTACCCTTTTCCCTTTTTGGTTCAAGGTTCCCTTGTACAGTAGCCAACCCCAAAAGAGGGTGCCCTTTCTATTATAACATGGTTTCCGGGCTTGCAAGACCCCAGAACCCCCCTAAACCCCCAAACCCCCAAACCCCCAAACCCCCAAACCCCCAAACCCCCCAAACCCCCAAACCCCCAAACCCCCAAACCCCCAAACCCCCAAACCCCAAACCCCAAACCCCCAACCCCCAAAACCCCCAAAACCCCCAAACCCCAAAACCCCCAAACCCCCAAAACCCCAAACCCCCAACCCCCAAACCCCCAAACCCTAAACCCTGCCCCCCCAAAAAAAGAAGCAAAATGCAACTTGCAGAGCCCCCTAAAACCCTAAACCCTAAACCCTAAACCCTAAACCCTCAACCCTAAACCCTAAACCCTAAACCCTAAACCCTAAACCCTAAACCCTAAACCCTAAACCCTAAACCCTAAACCCTAAACCCTGAACCCTGAACCCTAAACCCTAAACCTAAACCCTAAACCCTGAACCCTGAACCCTAAACCCTCTCTATCCTGATAGATTAAAACCCTATTAACTTTTTGGTGCGTTTACCCCCCGTTGTTGAGCACTTTTTGGTGCAATCGGCACCGTTCTTGAGCGCTTGTTGGTGCGTCGGCACGTTCTTGAGCACCTTTTGGTGCGTTTGGCACCGTTCTTGAGCACTTTTTGGTGCAATCGGCGCCGTTCTTGAGCAGTTTTTGGTGCGTGGGCACCGTTCTTGAGCACTTTTCGGTGCGCGGGCACCGTTCTTGAGCACTTTTTGGTGTGTGGGCACCGTTCTGGAGCACTTTTTGGTGTGTGGGCACCGTTCTTGAGCACTTTTTGGTGTGTGGGGAGCACATTTTGGTGCGTGGGCACCGTTCTTGAGCACTTTTTGGTGCGTGGGCACCGTTCTTGAGCACTTTTTGGTGCGTCGGCACCGTTCTTGAGCACTTTTTGGTGCGTGGGCGCCGTTCTTGAGCACTTTTTGGTGCGTGGGCACCGTTCTTGAGCACTTTTTGGTGCGTGGGCACCGTTCTTGAGCACGTTTTGGTGCGTCGGCACCGTTCTTGAGCACTTTTTGGTGCGTGGGCACCGTTCTTGAGCACTTTTTGGTGCGTGGGCACCGTTCTTGAGCACTTTTTGGTGCGTGGGCGCCGTTCTTGAGCACTTTCTGGTGCGTGGGCGCCGTTCTTGAGCACTTTTTGGTGCGTGGGCACCGTTCTTGAGCACTTTTTGGTGCGTGGGCACCGTTCTTGAGCACTTGTTGGTGCGTGGGCACCGTTCTTGAGCACTTGTTGGTGCGTGGGCACCGTTCTTGAGCACTTTTTGGTGCGTCGGCACCGTTCTTGAGCACTTTTTGGTGCGTCGGCACCGTTCTTGAGCACTTTTTGGTGTGTCGGCACCGTTGTGGAGTGAACTTTATATTTCTTAATGTTGTGGGATTCTTTGGGTGGGTGGGTTTGTTCCTAAGCCTAGAACCCCCTAATGACGATGAATGCTTGAACAGTGACCCACCCTAGACCCTAAACCCTAAACCCCAAACCCCCAAAAACCCTACTGAGCCAATCGCGGAGCCAGGGCTGCAAGACTGGAACGCACCCGTCACGGAGAGCTGCCAGAACATCTCACAGAGCCTGGGCCGACACGAAAGGGTTTAGGGTTCAGGGTTTAGGGTTTAGGGTTTAGGGTCTAGGGTTTAGGGTTTAGGGTTTATTTAAGGTTTAGTGTTTAGGGTTTAGGGTTTGGGTTTAGGGTTTAGGGTTTAGGGTTTAGGGTTTAGGGTTTAGGGTTTAGGGTTTAGGGTTTAGGGGTTTAGGGGTTTAGGGTTTAGGGTTTAGGGTTTAGGGTTTTAGGGGTTTAGGGTTTAGGGTTTAGGGTTCAGGGTTTAGGGTTTAGGGTTTAGGGTTTAGGGTTTAGGGTTTAGGGTTTAGGGTTTAGGGTTTAGGGTTACGAAGAACCCTGAACCCAAACCTCCTCAAAAGCCCTCAGCCTCCTGAGCTCCTTGGGCCCTAAATTCCCCAAAGCCGGATGCCCGAAACTCCTTCAAGACCCCCCTGAAAAACCCCGAAACCCTAACCCCGGCATGAAACCCTTGGATTGAGGGTCTTTAGGGGGCGTCGGGCCCCAACGGCCTGAAACCAAAATCAACCTGAGAAGTGCCGGGCTTAAGGGTCTCCGTAGGCTAAGGGCCCGAGTTCAAGGGCTTGGGGTTTAGGGGTCTAGGGCGCAGCCTTAATGGCGCCTATCCTCACGCGGTCGAGAGTCGACATGGCGCACATAGCCCTACTTAGACGGTAAGCTCATAACCCTGACCCCCCTAAGCCCTAAACCCGCCACAAGCCCTCAACCCGAAACCGGAAGCCATATGCTCAGTTCTCTAAATTAGGGTCCCTTTTTGGGTACCCTACATAAGAGGGGCCGCCTTATACTAAGTACCCGAAGGACCATAATTATTGAGAAATCTCCCTATGCTCAGGACCTGCCCCTGCGGCACCAACGCGAAGATGTGCCGCTGGACGGACGCTCGAGCTAAAGGTTTGGGGGCATCAGGGTTTAGGGTTTAGGGTTTAAACCCTAAGCCCTAAACCCTAAACCTTTAGGATGTCGGAATATGGCGGTTTACGACAATAGGGTGAATAGGAGTATTTTTTCTGGGGTCCCTGTAAGGGGATTCTATTCTATTTGGGCTACAAACCGGGTACCCCCTATGTTAAGGAATTATCCATGTACGGCTTGGGGTTTAGGGCATCATTAGGTTGCTCGCCTCCTCTGAGGGTATCCCCTTTGTGGTAGCCCCCGAAACTGCACACCCTGCACCCTGAAGCCTTGAGAGGAAGGCTACAGTGGGCACACCTCTTCCAGCCCAGCACGCTCCGCGAAGTCCCAAGACTCCTAAACCCGAAGCCCTTCCATCCTCAACCCTCGGCCCTTAAGCCCCCCAGCCACCCAAAAAAAATGACCCCCAAACACTAAACCACCACCACCAAAAGCTCTGCTGTGGATCCTAGGAGTTATCTATATCCCCCCTTGGGAATTATATTTATTTTCTTGTTTATACAAACCCCAAGAGGACATTGAGGTTCTAAGGGGAGTATAGTTATAGGGCTGAAGGGTTTCTCAGGGATGTTAGAGGCAATGCTTTCTTTTGGGTGGCTTTCGGGAATTTTTATTGGGTTGGGGGAGTTTCATGGGCCCTATGGCCCCTAACCTCCTTAGAAAGGGGTTCCGGTGTCTGGGCCCTTCATCTGTATAGGGTATATAAGGGGTACCCTTCAGAGGGCCCACACTAACTACACGGCAAACCCAGCACAGGGCAACAGGCCGCGGTCCAAAAGCTTCAAGCCCTAGCCCAAAAGAACCTTTAAACCCTCTAGAACCCTTTCAACCTATAGAACCCTACAACCCTAGAACTCTGAACCTCCCAAGCGCCCTAAGGTCCCCTAAGCCTAAACCACTGAATCCAGACGACTTGCGAATGAATCCCGGGGATACCCTTCTATGAAAGCCCTATAACGGTCCTATTAACCCAGCTATTTGTGCAAAGCAAGTTCCAGGGCCCAGAAAACCCAACCCAACCCCACAAACCCTATATACCCTCGAACCTAAGCTCAGGATGAGTGGGGGTCCGCGGCTCAGCATACGCAGGGGGCCAGCATACTCCAGCTCAGCTGTTTGTGTTGCTTGGTGCGGGATAGAACTATCTGGTTCTGGAGGCCTGAAAAGGACAGAGTAGGGTTCAGGGTACCTAAACCCCAAACTCTCTGGCCCTACACCCGCACTACCTTGCCGGAGGTACGAGAATGAGGTCTGCTATCCAGTGAGTGACACCTGCCCTGTCACCTGCAAGCTTCTGGGCCCAGCTTAGAGGGTTAACGGGTTCAGGGCTTGAAAGGGTTTAGGGTTCATATAGTGGCTTACGATGCCCAGCTTAGAGCGTTAAAGGGTTCATGGCTTTCAAGGGTTTCGGGTTTATATAGTGACTTAGAATGTTTAAGGGTGAGCTTTTTCAGGGGCTTGGGGTTTCTTTCATTGCCCCTTTTGATCTGCACCCAACCGCTTTAGACCCCAATGGCCCTTGCCTTGATCCCGAAGAAGTCCTCCAAACATCCTGAGCTTTGAAACAGATTGGGCCTTTCCCAAGGAGTAGATGCCCCAATATTCTGTCGTCCTTATCTTGGGGAGCGACCAGAATCCCCGAAAAAAAGGGTGCCCCCTATTTGCAAATACTAACCTAAGCCCTGAACCCTAAAAACCCCACAGACTCTGGATCCGCCCTTCCCCTCCAAGCTCTGTTTTGAGGGCTTTTACGGGTATTCCCGATCATTAGCGAGGTGCATAGGGTCTGGGGAATGAGGTACCTTGCATCCCCCCATAAATCCCAGAAATCCCTTTCCAGGGACCCACCGGCCCGAATTCCCTACTCAGAGCCTGTTTTGGGGTTTGTTTGTCTTCGGCGTGTTCGGTTTGTGGGCTTAGGGCTTCCCAAGCCGGACTCCTTAAACCCTAAACCCTACACCCCATACCCTAAACACGCAGCCCTTCACGGGCCCTTAACCCCACACTCCCTGAACCCCCAGATCATCGGAGCAGCGCTGCTACATCACCGCCGCTTGGTCTAGGGATTTAGGGTTTCGGGTTTCGGGTTTCGCGTTTCTGGGTTCAAGCATTCAGGGCTCGATGTATGCTTGGAGATTGGGCTTGATGTCAAGAAGAGCCATTGAAATCACTGTGGAGGCAGCCCTTGCACCCCTTAAAGCCTCAAACCTCTCGACCCCATGCCCCAAACCCCACAAGCCCGCAACCTCATCCTTAGTTGAGGCCCCTAAACCCTAAAACCCTACAGCAAATGGATGACATTGTGAGCTCTTAGGGCTGATCCAGGGTTGCAGGGTTGTGGGCCATAACCCTGCAACCCTGCAAACTGTACTTCAGTTAGCCCAAAAGGTCTTTGTCGCTCATGGTAGCTTTTCGCCTTAAAGTTCCTGAAGAAGAACCCAGGAAACAATCATGAGCTTGGGCTTGGGGCTTCGGGATCCCGGGTTTCGGGTTTAACGACTACATGGGGGCGCGACTCCCAAAAAACCAGGGCCCCTTGATGGAACCCCAAGAGGTGCCATCATCTTCCCAGTTAAGGGTTCAACGGTTCGGCCTCCGCTTGCCGCACCTTGTCTTAAGGACTACGACGCCAGCGGCTTTCCTGGCCTCTACCGCGCAGCCTGTCTCTACACGCCGTAGACATCTGTAGGGGGTCCCGAAACATCCCGGTTTAGGGTTTAGGGTTTAAGGTTTAGGGTTTAGGGTTTAGGCTTTAGGGTTTAGGGTTTAGGGTTTAGGGTTTAGGGCAAAGGCCCCCCACATACTCCCTGCGACTGTAGGTCCCGGGGATGCTTGGGAGGGTTTACGGTTTGGAAAAGCCCTATGACATGTGTCTAGTTTTCACGGTTCATGTAACTTGTGCCTGACGCCCAGTTCTTGCACTCAAAACATTGCACCCAAACCCATCCCAAACCTAAACTTCAACGCCACAAGCGGCTGAACGTGGTAGCGTATTTCCAAAGGGGCTTCGTGGGTGGTGGCCGGAGTCTAGCTGAATCGAGCCTTTGGGAACCTTGAACCCTGCTAACAACTTCAGGTCTGCGGGTTACAGCAGCAGTGGCCTTTGCTTCTAAGCCTACCTAAATTCCCGTGATCCTTCAAGTAGACTACCCTAGGCCCGAAACCCTATTTGAAGCCTTCAATCCAGGAGACTTGCGTGTCCAACGAAGCGGTGTGCCCCTGTGGGACCAACGCGCAGCAGTGCCACGATCCACATTGGGAGGCTTGCCTCAACGTGTGCGCGGAGTCGTGGTGCAGGGTTGCAGGGTCTGAGAAAGACTGCGTGGGTTACGGGGAGCGCCATGTCACAGCTGTAGAAACCCTTAAGCCTGAACTCCTGAAACCATTAGCTCTAGAAGCCCTTTGCATTGTTGTGGCTTAGAGGCGTGCAGCCTTGGGGTGGACGTAGGGGTTTGGGGTTGTGGTTGGGGCGGTTTATGGATGGGTGGTTCGTGTTTTGGAAGGGTGGGTTTTGAAGTTCATGGGGGTGATCTTCTGCCTGGGTTTGGGTTTGCAGTTGAGGGCGGTTGTCAGAAGGCGAGTGGCATGATCTTCCAAGTCGGCATTCGAGTTTAAGTGCAGGGTCTTAAGGTTGATGGGATGAGGGCGCCCGCGGATCCGAGGATTACCACTACTGCTACCCGCTTGTGGACTACTGGACGAACAGCTGCCGCGATGCACACCAGATTGCCAGAAAGGAGGTTTTAGACACCACGACTGCTTCTCATTCTCAGTCCTGAGCCTTGAACCCTACACCCTAACCCCCAAAACCCTGAACCACCTCGCAGCTCTACTGGATTGGCCCTTTGAACTTTTGAGCAAACATTCCCCAAAAAGACCTACCTATCATCTTCTCTTCAATCCCAGAAGGGGCACATGATGTGATGTTCCAGGGAAGCTGCCCCTAAGCCCTCAACCCTAAACCCTAAACCCTAAACCCTAAAGGTCTCTTGTGGAGAGGAAGCGCCCCCCCCTTTTTTTCTCTTCTACAGTGACTCTACAGGGTAAGTAAGGGGATTGTCGGGTGCCTACTTGAATGTTCATTGTACTTATTAGCCAGTTATAACTGTACTTACAACCCAAATTATAACCATGCTAGGGCACTTAAGGGGCTTATAAGTGGGTTATAGGTACAGTTCTAATTGGTTAATAAGTACCCTGAACCCCCAAGTAGCTCCTTGATTTGCCACTACGAGCGCTTGGGGTCTAGGTTTCGGGGCAGTGCGTGCTGGCTTGGAGAAGATCCTACTGAGGGATATGAGCATTTCCCAAAACAGGGGTACCCCTAATATACCCCCCAAAACACGAGAATCCCTATGAAAGGAGCCCCCAAAAGGGCACCCCCCATTTTCGGAAACCCCCATATCTTTCGGAGGATCTTTGAGAGGTTTTCAATAGCTGATGATTGGAGGGCCACCCTCGCGGAACTGGCAGGTGAGGGCTCCAAACCCTACAAGCCCCAAGACCCTAGAAGCCCGAAACACAGAACCCCTAAACCCTCAAACCCTCAAACCCTCAACCCTAAACCCTAAACCCTAAACCCTAAACCCTAAGCCTTAACCCTAAACCCTAAACCCCGAGTTCTGAGGCACCATGCGCTGCCCAGTGTATTGCACCGACGAACAGGACTACTGCTACAGTCCCAGCCGCTCGCATCTTGAAAAGAAAGCAACCTAAACCTTGAACCCGCTGTATGGAGCCTAATTGTACTCCTGCACTCTTTTGGGAAGATTGCAACAAGAATAGGCCTTATTGACGATTAAAGAATGTATATATATACGCACACATATTTATGTATTTCTGTATATACACACACATAAATATATACTACATCTACATCTACATATACATATACATACATATACATATACATATACATATATAATTTATACTTATTCGTTTTTTGCATATGTATGTACATATATATATATATATATGTCTATATAATATATATATATATATATATATATATATATATATATATATGGTATGGGCGCTACAAGCCGTTATAAGGACCCAAAATTGTGGGCCCGTAGAAGGGTTCTTCCAAAAGGCTTGGGGCCTCCGGACTGGCAAGGGGGATGGTCGAAGCCCCACAAGGCCCATACTCAAGTGCCCTATGTCCTTTATCAACGTGTCAAGCAGGTGGTCCCTACTCCACTGTTCAAGGTTCGGGGTTTTAGGGTTAGGATTCAAGTGGCTTATGCCTTCGACCTGTATGCTCTTGTGCGAGATCCCAACGACGTGAGTTCACAATCCTTGAGCGGCTTTAAACCCTTGGTAGGCGTTTGGGGATGTTTGAAATTTCCTTTATTGGGCTGAAGAGGATCATGAGGGAATATGCTTTAGAGGGTGTAGAATGTGCCCAGACCCTATAATCCCTAAAGCCCCACAATCCTTTTCTACACCCTAAAACGGTGAGAGTGGTCTGAATTATGGTGGCCTCTCTAGATCTAGTTTGGAGTACCAACATTTTTCAATCCTGAAACTTGCAATCCTGAAGCTTAAGATCCTGACATCCCTTCCCCTACCCGACTGACCCTCAGACCCTACGCAGGTTACGATGCCAACGGAAACTGGCTCAGCACGGTGGAATCTTGCGTGACTCCTCAGCACGAGAAGCGAAGTAGTTGCAGCAATAAACCCCAAACCGTACCTTCTGCTGCTTGTTCTACCACAAAAGATACTTCCACTATTCCACTGCCCACGAGGTTACCCTATCTCAAGGCGCCCCCCAACGCCCACATGGTTGTTGTTCAGAGTACCTGTCCGAGCCCCCAACGTGATCATAAGGAAGGTTAAGGAAGGAAGGTTAAGGAACCCCTCTTGCCAAAAACCCCTGAACGGCGAAACCTCCGACACCCCCCAAATACAGGTAGCCTAGTTCATTGCCAATCTTATCCCCTAAAACCCATATCTGCTCGCCATATACACTTGCCAAAACCACCTTTCCTGCAAATAAGGACCCTTGATCCCTCCCCTTGAACTCTGTAAGCATGACAATCCCGGTGCTGATGCCCCGCAGGTCACGAAAGGCACACAGTGCCAATGCACCGGCCAGAACTCCTTTGCGTGTGACTTCAACGTGTCCTGGATCAAGGCGTCTGATTGTTCTCTAGGATCCAGAGTAGGCCCCTTAAACCCTAAATAGTTAAACCCTACACAGAGGCCAGGCTTTGTGTTGGGGCCCCGATTTTGCTTCTTTGCGGGCTTTGGCCTCCCTTATCAAACCCCTCCTTCAGACCAGCTCAAGACGTTTAGGGTCACTCTGGAAGCAAGGAGAAGGATTACGGGCTTAGAGTTCAGGGTTTAGGGCTGGGGTGACAAGTTCTAAGCGTAGATCGACAACCTTATAGACCCAAAACAACCTGAGGGCTTTGGGGCTTAAGGGTTTAAACCCACGATCGCAGAGACCCCAAACTCCAAACGCTAAACCCTAAACCCTCAACCCTAAGCCCTAACCACATGCACCCCGGCGTCTGAGGAGTGGGGCTACAGCTGGCGCGAGTGCCTGCCTCTGGAAGGAGGCGGATGGTATTTTGGGGGTCTACGAAACTCAGGGACCCCGAATATAGATTCCCAAATAGTAGGGGTTTAGGGTTTGGGGTTTGGGGTTTAGGGTTTAGGGTTTGGGGGTAGGTCCCTTGAAAAAAAAAAGGGACCCCAGAAGGGTGCCCCCTAATGTCGCACACCCCCATGTAGGCGTTCTCTCTGGGGGGTGAAATCCTGTAAGGACCGAATGGTGTCTGTTCTCAAGGCCCAAGATCCGGATCAGAAGTCCTCAAACCCTAAACCCTAAACCCTAAACCCTAAACCCTAAAAAACCCTAAACCCTAAACCCTAAACCCTAAACCCTAAACCCTAAACCCTAAACCCTAAACCCTAAACCCTAAACCCTAAACCCTAAACCACCCCCAGTCTGGTGCTGAACACCGCTCCCAAACCCCAAAACCCTAAGCCGCCAGACCCCGAACCCTCCCGAACTCAACCCTTTTCAGCCTAAGCCCCAAAAGAACATTCCAAAAGCCCCTCCAAGTTTTCGAAGATGCTGTGACACTTCAACACTTTTTGAAAGCCCAAGGCGATGTTAAACATAAATGATGTCGTATATTGGGTTTTCTCGAGGCGAGTCGCTGCACACACCTGAGCCCTAACCCTGAAACCAGAACACTCGAAAAGGCCTAAACTCCAAATGACCCTAGAGACCTGAACGCCCTAACTCCCAAAACTCCCTAAACGCCCTAAACCGCCTGAACTCCCTAAACGCCCTAAACGCCCTAAACTCCCTAAACTCACTAAACGCCCTACACTTCCTAAACTCCCTAATCCTCCCTCCACTCCCTAAACTCCCTAAAATCCCTAAGCGCCCGAAGCCTCTTCTGGCCCGGCGCACGCGAGGCTTCTGCCCTCAGACCTGCGCCACGAATGAGGTAAGCTGCCCTTCCGTGGAGGTCCTGCGGCTATATGCCACTATTATAGAAAGGTGTACATATATATATATATATATAAAGGTGTACATATATATATATATATACATACACATATACATATTTATTTATTTGTTTGTTTGTTTATTCATTTATTCCTTTATTCATTTATTCATTTACTAAATAGAAACAATGCGGTATGATGTTCCTTTCTTTTAGATTGCATTCGTTAGAGCATCCTGCATATGGAGAAGTGTATTCTATTCAATATTCATGTATTCAGCATTGCCCTAACACCCCTGACTCTAGCTGTCCTAAGCCGCTGACGCATGGGTTTTCGGTGAGATGAAAGCCCTGAAAAGACAGCCGGCCCTAAACCAGAAACCTCAAGGCCCTAACCCCCCAACCCGAAGCCCCAATCCCCCAAGCCCAAAACCCAAAAGCCGGAAACCCTAATGGTCCCCGGCCCTGCCTGTACTCCAAAAGGACTACATGCCGAATGGGACTTGGCTGGGCCTCTTTGACCCACATTATGCCGAGGGGGGTTAGGCGTTTCGTGCAGAACGCTCTCGCTTGAAATGACAACACGAGCTCTCCTCTATATCGGCTGACATGAGGGATGTCGGATTGTCGCCTTGTTGTTGTGCGTGATGTTGCTTTACTCCATCGCCACTTTGGTGAAAGGCACACCCCACCCGCTATACCGACTTCCAGTTTCCTCCTGTCAACGCGGACAAGGAGTTTTGTCCGCCCTCGCATTTGTCACCCAATTTGCATCGAAATCCCGTCGAGCTAGGCAGCTGTTCCGTTTTCAAACGGTTCGGCCGCGAGGCCGTCACCTCCTACAGTAAGCCTTCAGTGTACTTGAAGGTTCAGGGTACTTACTAACCAGTTATAACTGTACTTACAACCCGAATAAAAGCCATATTGGGGCACTTAAGAGGCTTACAAGTGGGTGATAAGTGCAGTTATACTTGGTTCACAAGAACCCTGAACCTTCAAGTATCTGGGAAGATGAGCACAAGGCTTCTCCGACCCGTCGACGAGCTGCGCTGCCAACCTCGACTCCTGCCCCTGTGGCAAAGAGGCACGTTACAGGGACCCTAAACCCTAAACCCTAAGCCCTAAGCCCTAAACGCTAAACCCTGAACCCTGAACCCTGAACCCTGAACCCTGAACCCTGAACCTCCCTGAAGTGCACCGGCCCAGCAACAGAACGCAATGCCTCTATGAGGGCTCTAGGCCCTTAGCGCTGGAAACCCTAAGCCCCACCAAGAAAGCCCAGGTGGTACCCTTCTTGCCTCTCGCCCTTCTTGAGTTCTTCGTTCCTTTGTAAGAACAAGCCAACGCAAAAATGGCTGCCCTTGCAACCCAGCATACGTCTGCCTAGTCATTCTACCGCCCCTAAACTAAGTCCAAACCTAAATCTTAACCTTTTAGTTACCTTTAACAGACATCACTGGGAAGCGGGTACCTTCTAAGCCCCCTATAGTGGCCCTAAACCCTAAACCCTAAACCCTAAACCCCAAACCCCAAACCCCAAACCCTAAGCCCTAAACCCTAAACCCTAAACCTTAAACCCCAAAAACACTCCGTAAGCAAGTAAGGGGCTCGGGCCAGGCCAAGTTCTGCAGCGGTTCCACCATCCGCTGCATCTTCAAGGACCAAGATTCAAAGGGATTTTTAGGCTTTGGGGTTTAGGGTTTGGGGTTTAGGGTTTAGGGTTTGGGGTTTAGGGTTTGGGGTTTGGGGTTTAGGGTTTAGGGTTTAGGGGCTTCGGGTCGCATCTTTTTGGGTTTCTTTAGGGTTTAGGGTCACATCATTGAGGATTGAAATGGGACTGGCTCAGGATTGCAGACTTCTGGGAGGAGGGACTCCGGGGGTAAGGAGGGGCTTCCTGGGTTGAACCTGAAACCCTCCACCCTCCCCAGGACCCTGGAAGCCCCTGAAAGTCTCGGAACCCCTGACCCCTCAGGCTGATGATCGGCGGAAGAGCCTAAGAGGGAGTTCTTGGTGGAAAGGCTTCTGGCGTTAGGTTTCAATTCCTTCTCGTGTTTGGCTTGGGGATAGTGGGGGGGGGGGGGGGGGCGAGCATCAGCTGACCAGTTTTGGCCCTGGCACAAGCCGCAAGACGAGCCCTTTCGTTATCTGCTGTTACTTTTTACTTTTTGGTTTACTGTTTAGTTATCTGTTACTACTCTTCCTACGACAACGACTTGTGTTTCTACTCTACTTGCAGCATCAACGTATCCATTGATGCATTCGTCTTTAAAGCCCTCAAACCAAACCCTCCACCCCTTCAAACCGAAGGATGAAGATTGCCCTGTCATCTGCACCGACAGCCAGAAGAAGTGCCCCTTGAGCTGCAGCTTGGGACTAGGACTTCTGGGTGTAGGCTTCATGGATCAGGGTTTCGGGTTTAGGGTTTAGGGTTTAGGGTTTAGCAGGGTTTAGGAGTTGGCTTGTTCGCAGTCACTCCACAGCCTGCCGTGCTCCAACAAGAAGTCCTCAAGCCCAGACCATGAACCCCAACGCCTTAGCCTGAAGCCCTCGACCCCAAGCCTAAGCCCCGAAATCCTTAGCCCGGTAGCCCCGATAGCTTTTTAATTATTGTAGTTTGTTCTTTTGGGGAGGGGGGGTGGTGGGGGTTAGGGAGCGGGGGAGTGCTCCTGCGGAATTTGCGGCAATGCCAAAGATGAGCCTTGCTTGCTTTTAATGCGGGCGTTGTTCCGACCCAAATACGCCTTGAGCAACGGGAGTTGAGATGTTCCCCCTTATGCTAACAGTCCGTAGTGGGGATTCTTATCGGGGATGCGTTTATTTCTAGTAAGGACTGTTAGTATAAAGGAGGTACACCCCACGTGGTCAACCCGAAAATCAGCCAAATACGCTTGAAAGGCTACATCACGGACTACACGGCGGGAGAGGAGTTCATCAGCCGCGGGCCCAGTGAAGGTTTTGAGGAACGGACCCCGAAACCCTGACAGCGTTTAGGATGAGAGGTTAAGAGCTGAGGGCTTACGGTTCACTGCTTTAACCAGCAGCAGCAGCAGCAATTAGTCATCGCTGGTTGAGGCACATTGTCGGATCCTAAAGCGGGCAGAGCCTTGACGGCGCCGCAGATTGACCTCACGAAGGTTGTGCCTTTGCGCGCCAAGCACAGGGGAATCAAGCTCAGAGGCAGTCCAAGCAGGGATGCTTTGGGCAGAGCATCGCGCCGAGTGCTTCCGCTACATGGGCCAAAGAGCCCTGAACCCCAAGCCCGAAACCCGAAAAACCCTAAACCCTAAACCCTAAACCCTAAACCCTAAACCCTAAACCCTAAACCCCAAAGTCTGAAGGATAGGAGAGTCTTGAGCTGCAGTGAGCGGGATCCCTTCCCTCTTCTTGGCCACCTTTGACTTTTCAAGAGCCTTCCCAGGATTGCGGTTGTTCAAGGCTTAACGTATTCAGGGAGTTTAGGGTTTAGGGTTTAGGGTTGAGGGTTTAGGGTTTAGGGTTTAGGGTTTAGGGTTTAGGGTTTAGGAGATCTCTTACGGCACCCGTCATTGCAACGTATGCCTACCGAAAGCGGGGGACAAGTTCAGCCCCTCAGTCCCTGGAGACCCACCCCCAAACGCCAAACCCCAAACCCTGAACCCCAAACCCCAAACCCTAAACCCCAAACCCCAAACCCTAAACCCTGAACCCTGAACCCTGAACCCTAAACCCTAAACCCTAAACCCTAAACCCCTCACAGGTGGCGGGGTCGTTTCGGCCTCGAGCCCCTGCTTCCTCTCCACCCAAAGCACTGCACCCTCGAAGACTTGAAATTAGGGTTTAGGGTTTAGGGTTTAGGGTTTAGGGGGCTTAGCCCTCAACCCCAAGAGCATGGAATCCATACGTCGTTCTCGCTTGCAGTGTCACCGAACTGCTTTGCACACTCTCCAGAAGCCCTAAACCCTGAAGCCCGAAACCGAATGCTCGGAGTCCTAAACGCCCCGAAGAGCGTGACCCCACAGCTGAGAAGCCCGAAGCGTCCGAACCTTAAAAGCCCAAAGCCCTACAACCTAAAACCCCAAAGTGCCCTCCACAAAGTACCTGTCAAGCCTGGGCTCCTTCAGCAGCTTCCCCCTCTACCAGGGCAACAGCCCTAATCCCTAAACCCTTACACCCTTAAAGCTTCAAACCCCCAAAACCCCTTGAACTCTTAGCCATAAACCTCAAATCCCCAAAACTCTAAAGGCTCAAACCCCCCAAACCCTTTTGAACCCACCCGAGAAGCCCTATGAACCCTACAAACGCTACAAACCCCACGTGGTCCAATCGGGTTTGAGAAAAGCCTGAGTCTAAGTGACCCCCGAAACCCCAAACCCGTTAGTGCGGAGGGGCTCCGCAGTGTGCAGAGGCGATCGGGAGGTGTGCGTGGCCTCCAATGCTACATGCCCGTGGCGAAGCTTCTACTTCAGTGGCTATCGGTGTTAGCCTTTCCAGGGAGTTGCAGGCATTTAAGACGATTCGAACCCTGAACCCAAAAGCATAACCCTAAAGCCCAAAACCTACACTGCAAACACGCAGATTCCCGAGAACCGGGAACAGCCAACTTATCCGCATCTTTCAGCGAAAGACATCTTCCAGGTCCATCTCAAACCCAGACCCGAAGCACCGCGTCGAAATCCCGAAGCCGAAGCCTCCAAAACTCCAATACTGCGGGGAAGAGCTTGTGGTCTGGGAGGTTTTACTGGGTTTAGCGTCCAAGATTTACAACCCTAGACCCTGAACCCTTAATCCGAACCCTAGCTTTACGGTTTATGGGAGTTGGGGAGTTTAAGAACCCCTAGTAGGCCCCTAAACCTCCCAAGGCCCTAAAACCTAAACCCTACACCGTAAACCCTCCACCCTCAACTCAAGGCTTAGGCCGCCCCCGCAGGGGAGGGGCGCTCGACCTCGATGGCGCAAGCCGACCCAGGTCGCTCGCCCGCCTCCCACAGCTCACCTAAGAAAGTAAAATGCCCCGCCTCCCTCACTCGGCTCCTGGCCGTCTGCACCCCACTGGCGACTAAACCCTAAACCCTAAACCCTAAACCCTAAACCCTAAACCCTAAACCCTAAACCCTAAACCCTAAACCCTAAACCCTAAACCCTAAATTCCCACACCACCGTGATGAAAGAAGGAGTTTTGTGTAGGAGACAGGTGCCAGATGGCCCTCCGCAAGCGGGCCAGAGCTGCTCTTCGCACCTCACGAAGCTTTCGAGCTTGTTCCAAAGCCTAACCTTCACAGCATCTACGCCCCATTACAGCAAACGCTAAACCCTAAACCCTAAACCCTAAACCCTACACCCTAAACCTTAAACCCTAAACCCTAAGCCCTAAGCCCTAAGCCCTCAAAGCCCTAAGCCCTAAACCCCCAAAGCTGTAAGCAGCCCAGGTGCGGCAAGAATACGCAGCGGTGCCCCGGCTCGGACGCTTGCCTCTTGCCGCGCCCTGGCTTGCGCGGACGGTTGGTTCTTGGGTCCTCAAGGGTTCAGGGTTGCGGGAGGGGAAGGGTGGCCCTAAACCCGAAACCCTAGGGTTTGGGGGAGGATTTAGGAAATTTGAGCTCATGTAGTGGGATTTTGGGTCTCGGGCTTGGGCTTTGGGGGTTCAGGGCTTTGGCGGGGGAGAAGGGGGGGATTAGGCGTTGCTTGGGAGGGGTTAGAAGCGGCTTTTGAGGGATGTGGCTCCCGGTTGTCCTCAACCCTCAGGCCCAATCGTCGAGTTGCGCAGAACATCCCGGCCTCGAAGCCCTAAACCCTAAACCCTAAACCCTACACCCTAAACCCTAAACCCCCAACCCCCTAAACCCAAAGCCCTAAACCCTAAAACCGCTCATCCAGGTCAAGCACGGCCATTGTCTGCCCTTGCGGCGAGGCAGAGCAGCAATGCGACGTGCTGGATTACACAACAACAGGCTCAAGGGAGTTTGAAATGCACCCTTTAGGGTTTAGGGTTTAGGGTTTAGGGTTTAGGGTTTAGGGTTTAGGGTTTAGGGTTTAGGGTTTAGGGTTTAGGGTTTAGGGTCCAACCCCAAACCCTAAACCCTAAACCCTAAGGGTCACCTAAAGCCCTAAGTACCCCTGAAGCCTAAACCCACAACTTAACCCCTGAAGCCCCAACCCTTGAGCCGCCCAAAGCACTTATGACGTCCTCAGCCTTTGGCCCGACGTGGGCATGTGGAGTGTGAGCTGAATTACGGCCACGTCTGCGTCAAGCCAGTATGTTTTGCAATTTCAGATGATGCGAAACTGGGCGTTCCATGTAGATCAACCCCCATGACCGGTCGGGCTCAGGGTCTCGGGCCTATGCACTTCAAGGTTCATGGGTAGTTAACCACCCTGGTTAAGGTCGGCACATAACTGCCCATTCTCATGAACACTAGCTATGCCTGCCCGAAACCCGAAACCCTCGGTAAGGCACATCCCCCACGTGCGCGTTGATGGCGCTTTTCGGTTTACAGGTTGGAGACCCATGCCCGGCAGGTTGCTTGGGGAAGCACATCCTAAACGCATCTAAACGCCAAGCCCCACGCTGTAAGACCTACGACGCGTTATTTCCTAAAGGTGACTGGGGAAAGTGATGGATAGGTCCAGGGCTTGCAAGAGGCAGCTAACATCGATGGAATGAGGATGAAGCCAGGGCTACTTAAACGTTCATCGGCAGCTATACATACGATACAACATTCTGTTACGAAAAGGGTTGCAAGCTTTGTTTCTACGTCTTAAAAGCTAGCTACTAACCCTCAAGTAGACCCTAAAGCCGTAAATAGCACTCTAGCCCCACAAGCCCTGTGAATGACCCTGTGAATGAGCCAAGCGGCAAGGCAAGAAGTCGAACATCACCACGCAGTGCGTGAACAAAGGCATCAAATGCCCCTGCGGCAAGAACACGCCCCTCCCGCTGCAGCACAGAGAGCGAGAGAGAGAGAGAGAGGGAGAGGGAGAGGGAGAGAGAGAGAGAGAGAGCGAGGGGAGAAAAAAAGGTACTCTGAAAACCTCAACAAACTACTTCAATGCGTGTTATACTACTTCTAGTAGCAAGAATCAAATTGCTAAGCAGAATAACATCGCAATAAATTGTTGATGTTGTGGCATAGCAATCAGAATGATTGTGCGGAGCAAGGCAGGGGCGGAGGGGCGCTGAGCGGCAGTCTCCGGGGATGATGGTTGCGATGTTTGTTTCTAGAGCGGCTCTCAACCCAGGCTGACCTGTGCAGATCCCAATGACCTTCGGCTGCATATGTTTTGATGTTTTTTGGGGTCCTTTTGGGGGGTGTTTGAGGATTAGCGTATCAGCCCATGGCGAGTGGCATCTCTGAGGTGCATATCCTACTTGGAAGGCGTGGGCAGTTCCACGAGGAAGTAGGGGCTTTAAGTAGCTTCATGAGATCGACTCGGGAGAAGAGTAGACAACACGGGAAACCTTAAACCCGACACCATAAACCAGACACAGAGGCGGGGGACGGTGCCTTGGCCTTCTGAGGATGCCGAAGCCGACATCTGCACTCCGAAATACAGCGGCTGCCTGGCTCTGTGCTTCCGAGGGCTTAAAAAACTCAAGCGCCTGAAGAAATGCTTTTAGAAGCCCCCCTTGGTTATCTTCGGGTTTATGGTGTGGGAGAGTTGCCACATTTCTCCACACATGTCTAATGTCTCACAACCATATTCAATCACAATCTACCCATTCCGGTGAACCAGAGGCCCCTAGAACCTCGACTTCCCCAAGCCCGCAAACCGCAAAACACAGTCAAGCCCGACTTGGAGACTTATGAACCTATTACAACTGTACTTATAACTGTAAACTCTAACCATATTCGGGCACTTAAGGGGCTCAGAAGTAGTGGGATCGAAGTACAGCTCGAGTTGGTTAGAAAGTACCCTGAAGCTCCAAGTAGCACCTTGCAAAGACTTCGGCTGCCCAGCAGGACCTTATTCCCCTTGGGTTTAGGGTTTAGGGTTTAGGGTTTAGGGTTTAGGGTTTATTGAAATTATTAAGGGTTCAGGTCCGGGGAAGTTTCGAGGAAAGTTTCGAGGAGTTTCAAGGAGTTTCAAGGAGTTTCTGTTTTTGGATTTTCTTAATAATTTCAAGTTACAGGGGGCTTGAGGGTTTAGGGTTTAGGGTTTAGGGTTTAGGGTTTAGGGTCAGGATCCCTGAGACACAACGGAGCCTCATGCAGTGGAGCTGAAGACCCCGAGGCATCGCCTACATCTCAGAGGGGCTTCCGAAAATACACCATCGAAAAGTACTAAACCCTAAACCCTTAAACCCTTAAAACCCTAAACCCTAAACCCTAAACCCTAAACCCTAAACCCTAAACCCTAAACCCTAAACCCTAAACCCTAAACCCTAAACGAGATTCAACACATCATCCAAAAGTGCCCCGGCGGAGAAGAGTTCACAAAAAAAGAAGCACTGCAGGCAAGCTTACCTGCTCGGATGGGAGGTAAGCCCTAGTCGGAGCTTTTCGCAAGATTCCGAACTTAGGGGTACCTTATTATTAGAAGGGAATCCTACTATTTGGGGGTCTATACTGGGTCCCTTATTTTCGTAAACCCCCAGTTTCTACCGAAATAGGGCCCTAAAACCCCCCAACCCCTTAGCTTAGCGCCAAAACCGAATCCAAAAGGCCCACCCGTACAGCGACCAGGATCGATCCTCAACAGCTGCCCCAAGCCCTGCACGCCGTCGCAGGATTTCTTCAGAGAGCCCGAAAAGCCCTAAACCCTGAACCCGAAACCCTAAACCCTAAACCCTAAACCCTGAACCCTGAACCCTGACTCCCAAACCCCATCTTTGACTCGTTCGGGGGAGGGGGAGGGGTGGCCGATCTTGCTCGACCGCAGGGCTTAGGCGGCTTCAGTTGCCCTGCGGTTGCTTCCTCTTCTTGGCCCTAGGGTCCCCCCTAAGCCCGACATAAAACCCTAGTGACTCCTAAACCCTGGTAGCCCCAAACCCTGAAGCCAACCTATATGTTGTGCTGTTGGGGGGGGAGGAAACCTGAAGTCAAGGCTTCCAGGGTCTTGGGTTTGGGGTTGGACCCTAAACCCTAAACCCTAAGCACTAAACCCTAAACCCTAAACCCTAAACCCTAAACCCTAAACCCTAAACCCTAAACCCTAAACCCTAAACCCTAAACACTCAGGGAAGGGGCCGGAGCCAGCCTCCCAAAGTTACTAGCTGCTAGGAGGGGTTGTCCGCCTTGCAATGTGCTAATGTATTTTGTTGTATTTTAGTTAATTAGCTGTTGTTTTCTCACATGTTTACTTGTATCGTGTCGATCAATCCTTCCAGCCTTGAAAGCATTTTTTCGCAGGTACCCGATTCCCTACTGAGAACCAGCTAAGTGAACCCTAAGTGGCGCGTCGACCCTGTGCTTAGCGCAAAGAATGCTGCGTAAACCTGCCCATGCTCAGGGAATATAACCCCAAAACCCTAAACCCGAAAATTCAAGATCGACCATAAACCCTACATTCCGAACCCTTGCACCCACAGTTTCTTTCAAACTTGAATGATGACAGGAGTTGGTTCAGGGTTTAGGATTCTCTGGTTCACGCATGGAAATTCATCAGCAATAGCCTACACCCCTAGATCACCCCTGTGAAGTTGAACTGCCCTAGATGCCCAGTCTAGCTGAGGAGGCCGAACCTGTAAAAGGACACGCAACTCCATGAAAAAAGAAGGCTTAAGCCCCCCTGGACCCCTAAACCTCTCCTGCCCCCCCCCCCCCCCCCCCAGGAGGCAACCGGTAACCGCACCTGCATCCAGCGCCTGGGCTTGCGTCAGGCTCCTTAACGGGGCTTTGAGGATGTGCCGAGCGGTTTTGGAGAACTCTAAGCGTTTGACACCCTACATGGCCTCTACCCTTAACCCCAAATTTCCCAAAAGAAGCCCCATAAACCCCTAGACTCTCCCCCTGAGCCCCTAAGGTCCACAAACCGCCACTTAAGCCCTACAAACTCCGGGGTAAGCCCTTGGGGTACTTTTCCAGTGTTCTCCCTTTACTCAAAACCCCTCATCGTACCGAAGCCCTGAAAAACCCTCTGAAAGAACCTAATCGACCCTAAGCCCTAAGCCCTAAGCCCTAAACCCCAATCCCACGCCATGCCCAGGACGCACCTTTCAGACTCGGGCGACTTCGTCTCCGAAACGATCAGCCCCCCGGAAGGAATCTTTAGGCCCAGAGCTCTGCTCCTGGCCCTAAGAACGCGTAAGGCGCGGAAATTCATCCAGACGGCAGGCGATGAAAAAGCATCACACTGACCATGGCGTAGATTCCCAGTTTTCAGATCCTGCTCTCCAAGACCTTCAGCCCCGGCTTCCAATTTTCAGGCTGCGTGCCGCCGGCCAACTGCCTGGCGGGCCAGAACATGCAGAAGTGCCACCTTGCCTCGGATTTCCAAGGGTTTGAGGCCCACCTAAGCCCCAATCCCCCGGCCACCCCAACAAAAAGCAGGGAGAGGAAGCCCAAGCGCAGGGCCTTAACCCCTGCGCACCCTATGTGCGCTAAGCCCTTCAAGCCCCCTTAGTCGCCCTGAGCCCTTCAACACCTTTCCGGATTTTTGGGAGTTGGAGTTTGGGAGCCACCAAATACCTTCAGCACCCAAAAGGGACCTAAGCCCAAACACTCTAAGCCCTAAACCCTAAGCCTTCTGCCGTTAAGAGTTTGGAAACCCTAAAGCCCTAAACCCTAAACCTTCGCACCATGAAGCCCAAAAACCTAGAACCCCTGCCCTAAAGTCCCTAAAGTCTCAAAAAGGCCTAAACCCTGTATCCTGAACCGTAAGCCCTCTGGCCGTCTCCGACGTCGCAACTCCTTGAACTCAGTATAGGGTTTGGGGCTTTGGGGGGTTTTAGGGTTTCAAGCCTTTGGGGTTTTGAAGGCTTTAGGGCATTAGTCGGATGGTGTCTAAGGGTAGCTACATGGCCGCTTCATATGGTCCCCCTTACCTCGTTTAATGTGTTCTGACGTATGGGCCTTGGGTTGCATAGGGTATACAAAGGGATCCCCTTTGAAGCCCCCCATATGAAGGGGCCATGTAACTACCCCTTATTAGACCCTAGACCCTAGACCCTAAACCCTAAACCCTAAACCTTAAACAAGATGGATATGGCAAAAACAAATGGGTTTCAGGGTTTGGGGCCCAGCCAGCTGCTGAGGCCTGTCCGGTGCGCACGTCCCGGTTTGGAAGCAATGCAAGGTCAGCTCATGCTTGTTTGGGGTGCGGGGGTGTGGGGGTTTACGGTTTAGGCTTTAGGGTTTAGGGTTCAGGGTTCAAGGTTCAGGGTTTGGGGCTTGGGGCTTATGGTTTAGAAGATGAAGGAGGGCTGCTAGGACTGTCTTGTGCCCGCGGTCTGATGTGTGATGTTGCTACGCTTTTCCAATAGTGCGTTCCACACTCAGTTGGGTTATGCCAGCGTAGACCCTAGACTGTGAGAGACCATGTGGAAACGCAAGAGCAGTCTAACGGTCCAACAAACATACGCCAAGAGCACTCCAGACAATATTCCATTGGCACTTGAACAACATCCCTCAAGAGAACTCCAAGAGCTCATGCCTCACAGGGGCACGAAAGAGCGACCTAGAGCCACGTGAGCTCCAGACGTCCTCCGCGTACTGCCCTTGTACTACAAAAGTCGACTTTCGAGCATACAGACTGGACCTCCGGACTTCCTCAGCGCACTATGCTTGTACTCGACTTTCGAGCCACAGTGCTTGGGACGTCCTCGGCGTACGACGTTTGTTGTATGAAATGTCGACATTCGCCTCGGCGTACTGCGTTTGTACAAAAAGGAGGCCCATCAGAGCTCCGGATGTCCTCCAAGCACACCAAAAGCCACCACAGTTTCGCACTTCCTGAGCCCCGACGTCCGAAAGCGACGACAGTTTCACATATCGCGAACCCATACGGTACATCTGACGCGCTCGAGTGGCGCAGCTTGTTGGCACGCTAGGGGACCGTGGATTCGAGCATGGCACAATTGCCCCAAAAGCAAGCCATTCCAACACCTTTCAGCCGCTAAGTCACTCAACCACCAAGCCACAATCTCCCTTGAGCAGTTAGGGCCTTAACCCCTCAGCCCCTGAGGGTAAACCCCCAAACCCTCGGCCCCAAAAAGCCTAAGTCCCGATAAGCCCTAAGCCCTAAGCCCTAAGCCCTAAACCCTATAAACCCTAAACCCTAAAGCCCCGAAAGCCCGAGGACCTGTACAACGTGGGAGGCAGCAACGCCTCGGCGGCCGTAGCCAGTGGTGAGCAGCAGACGTCCAAAGTGCCCCTTGAGCCAGGTTAGGGTGTTTAGAGTCTTTAGAGTCTTTAGAGTCTTAAGAGTATTTAGGGTATTTAGGGTATTAAGAGTGTTTAAGTATTTCGAGTGTTTAGCGTATTTAGAGTATTTTCAGTATTTACAGTGTTTAGAGTATTTAGAGTATTTCGCGTATTTGGAGTATTTAGAGTGTTTAAGTATTTAGAGTGTTTAGGGTCTTTGAGGCCTTGGGGTTGTTGGGGACCATTTGGGGTTTGGGGCTTCGGGGTTTAGGGCCTTGGGTATTTCTGGGTTTCGGGTTTGGACTTCGGGTTGGTGACAGAACAACTGAATGGAACAAAGGCAGTGTGAGCTTAGGGCGGTACCCGAGTGAGGTCGGGGCTGAGGGTCATGCAGGAGAATCGATCTGCGGGAGCTCTTATTGCCACACCCCAAACCCCGAACCCTAAACCCCGAGAGCCCTATGCAGCTCTCATGACCAGAGTCCTGAGCCTTTTAGAGTCGCAGAAATCGAGTTCAGTATGTTTGGGGCCGACAACTAGATGCATGAAGCACCTCAGCCGGCACTTGGGCCAGTCAAGGCCTTTGTGACCTGAGACCACCAAGTAGGAGTAATCTTTGAGTTTCCCGGAACGGCTTTCCCGAAGAGCCTTGCTGTAATCCCTGACCCTGTGATCCCTAAAAAATGCCTTAGGATCTCCAGATGAGAAGTGCAGGATGTGTTCCAGAACCAGCCCAAGGCACCCGTGAATCCCCTCCATCAATTCCCGCCGCCCTGAGCCGCTTGTAACCCCCCCAAAAAAAAACAAATAAAAAAAACACCTAAAGCTCCTGAGACCCTTGGGCTTAAGGCTGTTTAGGGCTTCTGTGAATGGAACAAACGCACTGTTTAGGGCTTCTGTTTCAGGACCGGTCCTTTTCCCACCAGAAGGCCTGTGAATAGCCTCTCCCTTGTCCCTGTATGGAGTCGTGGGCGGACGTAAGTCTCACAAAAAAGACCAGCAGTGGAAGCCACGAGGCCGAGACGCACAGGGCACCTGGCTCCCGCACACGGTGCCCACAACGCCCTATGTCCTCTAAACCCGAAACCTGTGCCCTGTAAACCTTAAACCTGAGCCCCCTAAGTCCTAAACCTGCAAACCCACCCTTAGCCCCCTGTAAGCCCTAAACCTCCTTTGTCAGCCCGAAAACCATGCTCCTGGCTCAGGTTCCTTTCCCTGGGCTCGCCGGCCGTCTCGAAGTTCAGAAGTTGGAGTTTTTGTTGGGGCGTTCTGAGGGTTTCGAGTTTTTTTCGGGGCTTTGTGGGGTTCAGAGCTTGGGGGATAATTGTGGAGTTTAGGCAAGTAGGGTTTCGGGTTTGGGTTTTGTGGTTGCTCAGGCTGGAAGCCTTAAGGAGGTTTTGGCGCGCCGAGGACGGGCAGCAACGCCCTGGAAGGGCTCGAGAACGCACGCGTCTCCATGAATGGCGAGCTCTACCTGCCCAAGGGGCATCTCGCCTACGCTTTCGACCTACACCACCTTGCTTAACAGTCACAAGTACCTAGTGCTTAATCGGCAGTTTACTAAATCAGTGTTAGGGATCCTTTTTACTTTTTGGGTTATGGGCTTTCTTATATATAAACAAAAAAGGGTCCTTTTTTCTTCCGAGGGGAACAGGGATTAAGTTTAGGGGAAGAAGCAACGCTGTGCATGACTGGCCGGCCTCACTCGACAGCCTTAGAACAGAGGCCCCCTTTGCAAAGTCACTGGGTTTAGGGTTCAGGGTTTAGGGTTTAGGGTTTAGGGCCCAGCATCTGACTGTAGAGGCCCCCCCCGCCCTAAAGCCCTAAACCAAAACCTGCCTCGCCTGAACTGCCAAGACGCCGCAGGATCCTGTCTAAGGTGGCTAACTTTCTTTTTTTGGGGGGCTTTGCCGCCAAGGGGTTCCGACGTATTCCCCTTCATTGGGCCAGTCAAGGGACCACATCACAAGCCCAATTCTTTAACTTTCTGGGTTTCGTGTCTAGGGTTGCATTAGGGTCTAAAGTTGAGGGTTCCCTACGATCAGCCTATGCCGAGGGCTCCCTGGAACCTTCCGATTCCCTTCGGACCCGATTCCTGAGACCTTAAGAGACCCTTAAACAGGGACCCTGAGATTTTCTGAGACCTTGCGGCCCTGAGCCCCTCTGCAGGACGACACCCAAGACCTTCAGACCCCAAGACCCCCCAAACCCTAAACCCTCCACCCCTAGATCCCTAAGATTCTAAGCCCCCAAAAGTCCCCGCCAGAACCCCGAAATGAGAGCCCCAAGGATCCAGGCAGCCCTCAAATCCCAAAGCCCTGAAATCCTGAAACCCCTAAAGCCCTAAGCTAAACCCTAAACCCTAAACCCTAAACCCTAAACCCTAAACCCTAAACCCTAAACCCTAAACCCTAAACCCTAAACCCTAAACCCTAAACCCTAAACCCTGAACCCTGAACCCTGAACCCTGAACCCTGAACCCTAAACCCTTCTTCTTCCTTGTGCCCACGAGGATCCAGACTCAGCTCACCCTGAAGACCGGCTCCTCATCTGGCCGACGCCTCTCTCGGCGGCTGGCGGATGGCGGCGCGGTGGTGACGCCGCTGGGCCAGAAAGCTCAACCCTAAACCCTAAACCCTAGGGTGTAGGGTTTAGGGTGAGGGGTTGTTTGGGAGTATGTGGGGGTCGTGGAGTTTCTCAGGTTCGCAGCAGCTTCGATGGCACAGTTGCAGACCCTTTATGTCGGTAAAGTCTGTAAGACCTGGTGCTTCTGCAAGTGCGCCTTAAGCTGAACATCATCTTCCTGTGTTTTTGATAGAATTGGCCAAAGCACAGTTCTAACAAAGCAGATTGTTCATAGTTCAAGGTAAGTTCTATGGTGTTTCTAGCTAATTCTACTAATCATCCAGGAATGGGTTCCTTATTGTAAGGAATCCTACGATTTGGGGGGGGTTTATATTAGGGGCCCCTTGTTTTCGGTTTCCTCGGACCGAAAAGTCGGGCAAAAGGTTCGCCGAGCCCCGTCGCACACACAGACCAAACCACCCTGCACATCTTCATCATGACTGCACCGAGCGCAAAATCAAAACGGGCAGGGTTCGCAGAGGATCGCCGGGCCCAAAATTGCCAAGAAGCTTCGGAGAGGTCCGTGGAACTTGCTTGGGCTTCGTGGGATTTGGTCTCGAACCTTACACAACTGTGGAGCCTGTGTGTCAGTAAGATTCCGTGACACCTACTTGAATCAGCACAAAGCTGCATCGATGTCTCATTGAGTATTTTTCTTGCCGGTGCTACCCGAAGCTTTGTCGAGCCCTGTCGAACCTCACAAATGGTTCGCCAACCTTCGTCGAACCATCTGCTACTTTGCGGGACCTTCGGGCCCCTGGGCCTCCACCTCACATTGCATTCATTGAATCCTTCAAAAACCTTCTTGCGCACGTTCTTAGTGGGGAGTTTGGGGGGGTGCGGCAGCTTGTAGCCGTGGAAACCCTTTAAGGGCTTACACAAACACCCTCATTTCCGAATTCCCTCCCCTGAGCTGAATTCCTAGGGGAACCCCCTAACCTTAGGCCACAGAAGAACCCACACCCGCCTAAACCCTAAACCCTAACACCTTCTCGGCTGCTTGAGGTTTGAGATCAAAAACACAGGCCGTGGGATGTTCCCTGGAGATTGTTGAGTGCTTTCGGGTCAGGGTTTAGGGGGGGGGGGCTTTCAGGCCGTACCTTGGGATGTTCCCCCTTAAAGGAACAGTTCGTTTGAGGGGGGGAACATCCGTATTCTTGGGGCAGTCCGAGATCCTTTGAAAGCTGTGGGTTTCAGTCCCGAAAGCCTAAATAAGGCCCCAAACCCCTAAACCCCTAAACCCCGAAACCCCTAAACCCCTAAACCGGGTTTAGGGTTCCGGGTTTAGGGTTCAGGGCTCAGGGCTTCAACCTACAAAGCCATACACCCGAGACACGGCCCGGGCTTAGGCTTCATGCAGGCCACGAAACCCTCAAAACCCTCAGCAACAACCCTCAAAACCCTCAAAAACCCTCAAAACCCTCAAAAACCCCTCAAAACCCCAAAAGCCGCAAACCCTACGAAGGCCGCTCAACCACGTAAGATCCCTAAAAAGGGCTCTCTGAGAGCCTTCGGAGACCGACGCGCAGGCGAGAGCTCCGTCGCACCCTCCAGCATTGCCGAGGAGCTCAAGAAGCAGGCGCTGCGCTGAGGGGTCTAGGGGTTTAGGGGTCTTAGGGGTTTAGGGGTTTTGGGGTTTAGGGGTTTAGGGGTTTAGGGGTCTAGGGGTCTAGGGGTCTAGGGGTTTAGGGTTTGGGGCTAGGGTTTATGGAGCATTTTTCTCGGATTTGAGGCTCTTTGGGGTTTATTTAGGGTGGAGGGTTTTAGGTTTTAGGGTTGGGGTCCTGAACCCTCAACCCCCTAAGCCCCCAAAATTCGAACACCTCTTAGCATGAGAGTTTAGCTAGATTTTGTTGGCAAGCCCCAGAAAGCGCGGCTAACTCCGGACCCTGAAGCCCTCAACCTTAAAGACCGCACACCCTGCAGCCCAGAAGCCTTAAGACTCCCAAACCCTAAACCCTAAACCCTAAACCCTAAACCCTAAACCCTAAACCCTAAACCCTAAACCCTAAACCCTAAACACCAAGCCCCAAACCCTAAACCCTAAACCCTTTAACCTGGAAGACCATGAGCCCTACAGCAAGCCCGTAACAGTGACTCTAAGAACCTTAATCCCTCGGTCCTCACCGACTTGAACACAAGCAGAAGTCCTAGGAAGATCCTCAGCCCTAAACCCTAAACCCTACACCCTAAACCCCAAACCCTAAACCCGAAACCCTAAACCCTAAACCCCAAACCCATTCCCTAAGCCCTAACCCCTAAACTCTAAACCTTAAGCCCTGAACAAGGCAGGCCGAGGTTCGAACCCTTCAGACGAGGTGAAAAGCTCCAGCGCCGGCATCTCCAGCGCGCTGAGCAGCGTGGGCACGGTGGATGCCAAGGCGGGGTTTAGGGTTTAGGGTTTAGGATGTAGGGTTTAGGGTTTAGGGTTTAGGGTTGAAGGTCTTCTTGGGAAGAGCAGGCTTCATGGGCTTGGGGTTGGGGGGCTGGGGCTGGGGCGGGTCCGAACGACGAGCTTGCGACGTTAAGCCTTCGACAGCTTTGTAAGCGGTGATTCAATGGGAGTAGTAGGATTCAGGTTAAACCCTAAACCCTAAACCCTAAACCCTAAACCCCAAACCCTAAACCCTAAACCCTAAACCCTATTGCTACAGGGGGCTTGGGGCTTAGGAACCTCGACAGGCCAAATCCTAAACCTCATCAGAACCTTGTAGCAGGGTTTAGGTGCACCATGGGCCCCCTCGTCGTCAGGCGGGCGTCAGTGTGGCCACCACGAAGAAGCCTCTGGGTAGCAACCCTCCCAAACCCCTAAACCCTAAGCCCGAAACCCTAAAGCCTAAGCCCTAAACCTTTCAAGCCCGAATTTGCTTTGAACCCGAAACAGCCCAAGCCCCCTCTCAAAGAGACCGAAACCCTTAAGCCCTATGAGCCCTATAAACTCTGATAAACCCCATTAAAACCCTCTAAACCCTCTACATCCTGCAAGCCCTGCCCCATAAACCCTCAACCCTACACCGGTCGGCCTTGGCTGTTGCACTAGAGCCTGAGCCCGCCCCAGAATGTTAAACCCCTTCCGAAAGCCTGAACTAACTGAACAGGGTTTCGGGCTTGCTGTTCTTTTTGGGGTTTAGAGGGTCACTTGGGTTTATAGGGTTTGCAGGGCTTGTAGAGGGTTTGAGGGCTTATGGAGGGTCTGTTCGTAGGGTTCCCGAACTACAGCCCAAAGCACTGCCCTGCACTTCTAAAAAACGCCACCCCCCAGTATCCCAAAGCTGTGCTAAGACCCCAAAACCCCAAACCCTAAAATCCTTAAAGCCGCCAGCCCCCGCCAAAAACAAAACCCTCTCGCGCCCCCGCTCGTCTGAGTCGCTGAGGACGATCACGACGCGCGCGGAGACGGTTCAGCAGCAGAAGAATGTACCTGGTCCAAGCACGTTTGGGTTTAGGGCCTTGTTTTTAGGATCACCCTAACCCCCAAACCCCCAAACCCCAAAGCCCGAAGCCCCAAACCCTAAACCCTAAGGATTAGGGGCGCAAAACCCTGAACCAGAGAGCCAGCCCGACATCCACGGGAAGTACACCGCGTTCCCCAAAGAGTTCAGGGCTGCAGGGTCCCTGAACCCTTCAAGCCCAAATGAAACTCTTTAAGCTTAAACCCCTTTAGCTCTAAACCAACTAGGGGGTTTCCATATTGGGGGGGGGGGTACCTTATTGGGGTCCTCATGATGAGGGGGGATCCTCCTATTTGGGGACGTATGTTAGGGGCACCCTAAGCCCCACTGGCGCTTAGGGTTGAGGGCCCTGAGCCCTAAAGCCCTACCATCTCAAGCCTCAGGGTTTCGGGTTTAGGATGGGATGTTCCCCCTTATACGAACAGTCCGTAGGAGGGATTGCAATAGG